ATAAGCAGGACTTTCCTGTCATGAAGCTGTGCTGGCTGTGACTGAGTGCATTGTCCTTCAGGTGTTCTTCAGTATCTCCCTCAATAATCTTCTCCATTATGTACCAGTCACTGAAGTGAATGGGACAGGCCTGAAGTTTCCAGGGTCATCCTTCTCGCCCTTCTTGAAAACTGGGACAATGTTTGCCAGCTTCTGGTTAGCTGTGACCTCTCCAGATTCCCAAGACAATTCAAAATCATGGAGACAGGCCTCACATGGCCTCAGCCACAACATCAGCCAGCTCTTGGATGAATCCCATCAGGTCTCCCAGACTCATGGACGTCCATCTGGAGCACTGGAATGGTCCTCAGGGCTCAGTTCAGTGCACTGGGAGCCCCTTACCCCATCATTGGTGTTGAAGACAGAGGCAAAGAAAGCATTAAACGTCTTTGCTTTATGGCCTTGTTTGTGAGGTGACCATCCTCATTCCGTAACAGGCTGATGCTATCACTGCACTGACTTTTGCTGTTAAGGTATTTTAAAAAAACCCTGATTTTATGGTCTCCCACAGTTTTGGGCAGCTTAAGCTCCAGCTGAGCTTTGGCCACACAAATTTTCTCCCCACAGTAGTGAACAGCACCTCTGTATTCCTTCATGCCACCTGACCTTGCTTCCACTGGGCATACACCTTCCTTTTTTGCCATAGATCCAGAAGAAGATCCCTGCTCAGCCAAGCTACTTTTTTATCTTGTCTGCCTGACTTCTGACATCTGGGAATTGTCTGTTCCTGTGCCCTTAGGAGGTGATGCTTAAAAAGTGACCAGCACTGAGGGACTCCAGCACCTGTAAAAACATCTTCCCAGGGAACCTTACCCTTCCCTGAGCAGCCTGAAATCATGTCCATGGTTGAAGTTTTGCTGGCACTTTTCCTCACTGTCAACAGGGATTTTTAAACTTCATGATTTTGTGATCACCGTGGCCAAAACAGCCACCAATGACCCCATCCCTCATGAGACCCTCTCTGTAAGCAAGCAACAAATCAAGGAGGGCATCTTGCCCAGTCTGCTCTCTTAGTACCTGTACCATGAAATCATCATCTAGGTGTTTTAGGAATCTTCTGAACCTGTTTGTGCCAGCTTTACGGTGTTCCCAGTCAACATCTGGCAAGTTGAAGTCCCTCATAAGGACAAAGCCTCCATACCTGGAGGGATTTCAGTCATGTAGGTGTGGTGCTCAGGGGCATGGTTTTGTGTTGGGCCTGGCAGTGTTTGGTTAATGGTTGGACTCCATCCTCTCAGAGTGATTTTCCAAGATTCTCTCTTTATGTGGTAAGTGGGAAAGGAGCTTTGCAAGCCTGTGCACACCTGGGCAGCAGGAGGGGGCTTGGGGTCACTTTGAACATGTGTAGTTATGGACAGATGGCTGTGGGAGGAAAAGGTTTGTCCTGCTGCAAGAGTTACAGGCTTTTACTGGCCTTTTGGTCATTGGGACAGCAATGGGGTGGATGGAAAAGCTTAGAAAGTGGGAGCTGGGATGCAGTTGCTTGCTCCAATACCACTGAAAATCCAGGCAACTGGGACAGTCTGATGCACTGCTTGATTTGACCCCCCCAAAAAAACTATGGGGGTGTTTGTTCCTGAGCATCCATCATCCTGTCAGGCTGTGATGAGCTGGAAGAAAAAAAAAGTAAAAATTTTATTTTGCTAAATGATGATTGAAATTTTAAAAGCAATATTGTCAAAACTGCATGTCAAACAGCCTAATAATAGCCTAATCTATGTGGCTCCTAATGACAAGTTAGGCTATTACAGCTGAAAGAATTTTAAGCATCTAAAAATTTATACATCATCACTTGGCCTATTTGCTTTCCACACTTCAGTAAATGTAGATGAGAAGAGCTGCTTGTGTTTCAAGGCAATTTCACCTGTTTCACTCAGTCCTGTCTCAGGATGCTGCAGCCCTGGGGGAAATCACAGCCCTCAGTAGAAGCTGGTTAAAATGTTGTGATGAAAACACTTACTTTAACATTAGAACTCTTTTTTTCCCACTCCAGTAGTTGAATATTTTTTTCTTTTATAAGACAACAAGCAACTTGGGCTCTACTTCTGTGTCACATTGGGATATCAGCACCACTTTAATTTCAGATTAGAATATTATGTGTTATAAATGGAAAAATGTATTTTTACCCACTCAACACAGAAACAACACTTGGGCAGCAAACAGAAAGGGCAAGTTTATCCCTAACAAGCTATAGCTAGCCTCATTTCACTGATTAGCTAATTGCTATTAGCTAATTGCTGTCCCTGGTGAAGTAGGGCCCTATATGAGTGAGTGGGCTGCCAGGTTAGCCCCTTTGCTGTAGGATGTGTTTTGGAGAGGGGTTGGGAAAGGTGGTGGTCCTGCATTTGCTCTGCCTGAGGGATTATTCTGGGGAGAGACGGGGAGGTTTTGTATATTTTGTTGGGATTTTTTTGTTGGTTTTTGTGATCTTTTTTGGGCCATATTTAATGTTGTGCCTCTAGTAAATCTTTGCCATGAAGCCTTTGCCCTCCCCATTTATTCTGGCCCTGCTCTTGATGCCTTGGGTGCTGGGGCCACCTCCTGCTGGGCAGGATCCTGGGGTGATGCTGAGGCCCTGCTGTGATGCTGCTCGTGCTGTTCCAGGGGTGAGTGAGGGGAAGTGGGGACATGGTTCCCTGTAAGAAACTCCCCTCTTGGATGCAGTGTCCTTCCTGCTTACAAATCCTTCTCTCTTCTGCATGGCCCTGAGGGATTAAAGTCTGGCTGGGCTTTGATTGCTCTGTTTAGGGGCTGGTTTTGTATTGGTTGTGGTCTAACAGCACAAATCAGATAGTGCTCCTGGATATAGGGAGGGGAGAATACTTATAATCGTGTGGAATAAATGGCGTGACGTTGGGACTTGGTCCAGGTGCAGGCAAACCCCCAATTCACCAGGCTGAGTTTGGTTCTCTCCTCCTACTAGGCTGATGTTGGCATTTCTCTGAGCAGTGTTATAAACATTGGGAATTGGTACTTGGGTCTGCAATTGGAGTATTTTCTTTTTTTATAGGCAAGGGGATCCTCTCAGGAATATTGGAAGGTTAAACCAGGTAAGAATTAGTTCTCAGGCCAGCTTTTTTTTTTTTTTTTTCAGAATTTCTTGGGTACTTCAAGCCACTAATAAGTAGTGAGGAATATCAGAAGCAACAACCTGTCTGTGGAGAGGGAGTGGGATATGGTTGGTCAGTGCTGGGGTAGGGAAAAATCATTGCTGGTGTGGAAGATAACTTGTGCCACTGTCCTGTGGCTGTCAAGTCCCTGCCACAAATCAGGTCCTGCAAACAGGAGCAAAGCACTGCAGCAATTAAAACAAGTGACAAAAGTTCAACCCAAGCTTTAAGTGTGCTCCTGTAGGGGTAAACCTATCATGAACTTGCCACTCTTCTGGCTTTGAGAAAGTGGTTTTGGAAAACACTGCTTTTCCCTGCCTAAGGAAAGCTGTTTTCCACTTTGAGGGCTATGGGAAAATACTGTTGGGGCACTAATATCTTCTGGCTTGGCTGAGCCCTTTAAACCAAAGAGATTGGAAATGCCTTCAGGAGAGCTTTGTCTCCCAGCTCTGCAGCTGTATAAACAACAAACCTCACCCACAGGCTGCAACCAAATGTAGCAGTGCACTCTGCTCTTGTAACTCGCCCAGGTGGGGCAACTCCCCTAGCCTTTAAGCCTTGATTCCTAAATAGCTTGACACTGCAGAGGAGAGGATGCCTCACTGGGACAAGTGGCACCCACTGTGTGGCTGTCCTGGGACCTCTGTGCTCCTGCATGGCCATGGGGGGGCTTAAAGCGTGGCTTTAGAAGTGGGGACACAGCCTGGCTCTTTGTGGAGGTGGTGGTGGGCCATGGCTTCTCCAGCTTTCCAAGGCTTTACTTCCATGTTTACCCACTGATAGGTTTCCGTGTTGGTTGGCAAACAGGAGCAGGAGGTACCAAAATGGGGAGAAGAGGGATCCTAAAGATTATTTCTAGAAGTAAAGATGGTGACTATTTCTTTGGAAGTGGAAATGGGGGAAAACTTGGTTGTTGCCTCTTGTCTTACAGAGCTGGAATCTCCTTGGTTATTGGCCTATGTGCCTATAAGAAGCTGCCACAGAGTTCTGAAGGATAAATATGGGGAGTTTTCTCCTCCAGCATTCCATGCTGATTTCCCTGTAAGCTTTTGGTGCAACTGGACAATTTGGGCAGGCTCCAGGAGGCACATCATAATTTATATCCGGGGATTTATCGCTGAGGACGCTTGCAACAAAAATGAGGACAAAATTCTGTTTGAAGGAGTCTCCTCCCTGGTGGAAAACAGTGTTGTTTATGCCTGCTGGAAAAATGAGATGCATGTTTTTGCCACGTTTGCTCAGGCTGTCCATGTTGTGCTGCTGAAGAGGTACTTGTCAAACCAAAGAGATGCACGATTTAAAGGGAAGTACTACATCTTCCAAGATCAGCAAGGTGACTCTTCCTCCAAAGATGATGTGATTTCTGGAACTTCTGCTTCAAAACTGCCAAAGAAAGGTGGTGTTTTTCAGTCTGGCTGGGTTGGAAACCTTAGACATGCACTGGGCTTTGCAACCACACGTGGCAGCACTACTGTGCTAAGCAGTGAGCTGGTGCAGGGAAGAGGGATCGATCTGGACACCACGGCTGTGGGAAGTCCTACAGAGCTTATCCTATGTGAATATGCAAGGACACAGGCTCTGGAAACAAAAGCTCCTTGTGGGCTGGGGTCTGAGCTACTGGGGGCTCAGGAAGCTCAAGGCATAGGATCACCTGAGGGAATAATCCCCACTGCAACAGAGGACATTTGGGGGCAGAATCCCTCTGTGAGTGAGGACAGTGCTGTGAGTTTTGGTCCTGTGCACAGTGTGATTTTGGAAACTCCTTTGCTTGGTACCTTCCAGGGAGCAGAACCTTTTTTGCAGAAAGCAGATGTGAATCTGAAGAGCAGCCAGCCTGTCCTGAGCCCCACCATGAGGCCAAAAGGTCTGGGCCACCTGCAGTTTACCATTAAACCAACAGACACGGGTCACAGGGACTTGGCTGCAGACTCTGAGCCTCTGTCACCTGGCACAGGACAAAGACAGGAGGGCACAGGTCCCACCAGGGACATCCAGCTCGGTACAGCCAGCCTGGAGAAGGATGGAAGCCGTGCCCTGCTGAGTGTCCCAGATGATGGCCTTGCCAAGGGTCTGATGCCCAGCCTGAGGAGCCCTTCTGATGTGGTCACCAGGGACCACCTACAGCTGCTATGTGAGAGAAGCCAAAGCAACGGGGGGCATTTGTCCATGCCTAAACCTGAGCTGGACACAACTGGCCTCCAGCATAGGAAGCTCATGGATATTTTCCCACTGGGAAGTTCTAGAGGAGCTGTGAGGAGGACAACAGTGCTGCATATCACAGCACCAGGGCTGGCTGTACCTGCTTTGGTAGCAACAGGGCTGGAGCATCCTCTCACGCCTGTGCCTGCCCTCGGGACAGAAACCATCCCTGTGCTGGTGACCTCTTCTGTAGCACCTGTCCCTACAGACTCTGGCTCTCTGGCTTTAATCCCAGAAGCACCTCTTCTACAAGTGAAGCCTGTGTCCACGGTGGCCTCCCTACCAGCTGCTCTGGATTGGGACCCTGTCAGTCTTAGGCAAAGGGACATCTCCCCAGCTAGCCCAGGAGGACAGGAGATGGTCTCCTCTTCACCACCTTGCCATCCATCAGTAGCCTCTGAACTGGGCACAGATGGGTCCTCCAGATGCTTTAGCCCTGGGATGCAAAAGTTGGTTCTGAGACAGACAGGTGGCCAGGGACGCAAAACCACAGTCTCTGTGGGCTTGATGGCCAGGAGTCCCTCCCCAGTCTCTGTCACTGTCCCAGGGCCTGGAGTGAGGCTTACTCAGCCTGAGGCCCATGTCAGCAGTGGCTCTGGAGTGCCACCAGCTTCCCTGTCTGACACCAGAGAGGAGCAGGAGGTGCCTGTGCAGCATCAGGACAGTGCTGCTAGTGACAAACCAGCTTCTGTCTACAGCTTCAGGGAATTTAAAATGCAGGGAACCACAGAAGCTCTGCAAGTGGGTGCAGGACAGAGGACAACTGCCTCCTTCACCACCACTCCTGCACACCCTGCAGCTGCAGCTGTGTGGGGAGAAACACTACCAAGAGACCAAAAGACTTGGGAGCCCTCTGGTGTACCCAGGAACACCCAGATATCAGAAGGACAGCAAGGGAAACATGCTGGTAGGCATTCCAGTACTTTGTGTCTCGGCATAAGTCACCTTTAGAAGTCAAAAGTACTTGGTGGGGGCAAGGACAAGGCTGAGCCTTTCACCTGCAGTCTCCACTTGGCAATCATAACTTGCTGTCTGGGGAGAACTGTGCTGGGGTGACCCTGGCTGGATACCAGGTGCCTTACAAAGCTGTTTCTCAGGAGGACAGGGGAGAGAAAGTGTGATTAAAGGCTTATGAGGTGAGATAAGTACAGAGAGAGATTGCTGACCATCTACAATCATGGGCAAGACAGACTTGACTTGGGGAAATCAGTTTAACTTCTTACCAATCAAATCAGGGTAGGATAATGGGAAATCAACCCAAATCTTAAAAACAGCTCTCCTCACCCTTCTTCCCTGGCTCAACTTCACTTCTGGTTTCTCTACCTATTCCCCTGACTCTGGAGAGGCAGGGGAATGGGGCCTGCAGTCCATCACACCTTGTCTCTGCCACTCCTTTCTTCTCAGGGGAGGTCCCCCCACTGGCCTGGGTCTGTCTTGGAGCTTGCTAGCACCGGGTCTGCTTCATGCAGCCTCTCACAGAGGCTTAGGTCTAGCTGAAGTGTGGATATGTGGCTCCAGGGGCTGAAACTACAGAAGTCTTGTTGCAGGAGAGGGTCTGAAACACCTCTTCTGTGGCAGTTTGCAGCACTCCTAGAAGGCTGATGTATAATATAATATGTAATATGTGATATAATCTGTAAATATAATAACCTTTGATTACATTTTTCTTTTCTGTGTTCTGATGTGTCAGAGCTAGGCCCTCCCTGGGTAACCAAGTACTTTCCCATCAGGAGCTGCCACCTCATCTTCCAAGATGGGTCTGGCGTATTTTACCTCCCGCTGCATGCTGACATTGAACTCAACATCTGGTGCAACTGGACCATCTGGGCAGGCCCCCAGAAGCACATTGTTGTCTATGTCCATGGGTTCCAGGGGAGCAATGGCTGTGCCAACAACCAGGACAAGATCATTTTCCAGGTGGTCTCGTCAAGTGTGGAAACCCAAGTGGTGTATGCCTGCCATAACAGAGGCACTCTGATCTTTGCTGCACAAGCCACTGAGGTCCAGGTCTTGTTTCTGTCAGGGAGTGGTTTCAGAAGCCATGAATACAGGTATTTTAAAGGATGGTATTATGTATTCAGAGACTCTGAAATTGTGGGCTCTTCAAGTGATACCCTAGCAGCTCCCCAGGAGACCTCTAAAAAAGAGAGCTGGAGGACAGTGGTGACCAAAGGTTTATTATCCATGTTGACAGCTCCTCTAGGCCCACCAGCTGCAACTGCTGGTGGTAGGATCCAGCCTGACATTGTGAGCCCAGAAGAAGTGGCCCAACATTCTCCTGATCTCATGGAAGATGGTCAGTCTGGTGCTAACCTGAGTGAGAATGGTCAGGATGAAGCCAGGCTGGAAAGGAACCTTAAGGACGGTGGCAGCAAGGGCAGAGACACTGAAGATGACATGTTGGTGGAGCCAGCTCCAGCTGGGCAAGACTCTGGGGGTAAAGCTGAGCCACCTGCCTTGGGTTTGACCAAGGGGGACACAGAGCCAGGGACTGTTCTGGTCACCATGGTCCCATGTCACCCAGCTGGTTCCCCTTGCTCAGAGATGCCCAGCAGCAGTGTAGGTGTCTCTGACACATCACCTACCCTGTGTCAGGCCAGTGATGGCCCCTCAGAAGTGGCAGGTGCTGCACATCACACACAGACACCAGTGATGGCAGAGCCACCACTAAACTTCAACACAAAACCACCTCTCTACCCCTCTCCTGCTGTGACTGCTGCTGATGTGGTGTCTCTGGGAGGAAGGACTGAAGACCTCTTTGGTAAGGTGATTTTTTTGGTTATTACTGGCTGAACTGATGCCTGACAATGTGCAATATCCACCTCCAGTGATGCAGCATTCTCTTAAGAGGTTTTATTTGTAGACATGGCTGATACCTTACTTGGGCCATGTGGTACCACTCTTGGCTCCTGTGTCCAAGGATGGAGGGACTTGAGAAAATGTAGGATTGTCAGTTGTAACGTGGGCATCTATGGGATTATGCTACTCATAATAGGGACAGGCTGGTTTCTAATCCAAGTGTTTTGAGTTATCCATGTAGGAGCCAGCCTCTCAGCTGTGACTTCACCCCTAAAGCAGACTGGGAATGCTCATCTTAGTTTTAAACAGCCTGTCTTGCATTGATTCCTCTGTAGCCTGTCACAGTGCTCCCAGGCATGATCACTGAGTTTGAGCTCCAGAAGCTGGGGAAAGGTTAAAAAAGTCCTTTGTATCCTAAAGTTTAGGAGTTGATGGTAGATCACTCACACAGGCAATATTTAGCTGCTATATGTTTTAATTTCTGCCTGAAAGCAGAAGATGTTTTCAACCTCCAAACTGTTCTTGCCCTTCCGTTGTAGATTTTATTCAGATTTTTTGCACTTGCTGGCTTGTAATTGCCCAAACTGTTTTGCTCCACTGGGATCCAAAGCAGCTCTGGTAGCTTCACAGGGATAACAGTTTGTCTGCTTCCAGAAATGGAAATTAGGTTTATTGAGATAATTTCTTTCAAAAGAGCACTGTGGAGAAGAGATTGTAGTCAGAGCCTGATATTTAAGTTCAGTATGAAGAATAGAGGAAGGAGCTGGCACATGGCACTCTTTTTGCAAAGTGACACAGACCTAACATACTTTCCCTCCCCCCTTACTGGTACATCAGTGATAGCAGCCTGATGCTTTCCCTTGCTTTGGTAGATCTGATTTCATCTCTGGAGAATGACACAGGACTGCAATCCCAGCACCATCCTGGAGGTGAGCCATGCAGAGTTAAGCATGTCTTAAAACACTGCCCTAAGCTCAGGGAGCTGCCTGAGGCAGGACATCACCTGCTCATTACGTTTAGAGAGAAGTGAGAGTTGTTTCTGAGTAGTAACCACTCTGAAGATGCTGTTTTTAAGATGTCACTGCAATCCCACAGTTGTGCTTTGGCCACTTTGTAACTCCCTTGGAGAAACCTGAGTTCGGGTGCTAACCGTGACATAAATGCTGACTTGTTCTAGTCCAAACATTACTTTTTGGCTATTTAAATAAGGTTTTTCTAAGATGAATGAGAGTGAATGAACCTCAATTCCTCCAGTGTATTCCAGTGGGTGTCCTGTGACTACCAGGATCAGAAATGTGCAGAAATCCTGCTCCTCAGACAAGGGAGAGAAGGAAAACCCTCTTTTGGGAGAGCAACTAGACAATATATATAAATACAGGGCTTGTATGGCCCAGCAAGCCACAGAAACAGCTTGCACAAAGGAGTCAATACAGAAGGAGCTGGAGCTCTGAACAGGGAAAATATTAGTGAACAAATAGGTTTGAAACAGCCAACTGGCATATCTGTGCCAGTTTGAATTCCAAGAGGAATTGGCTTTTAGACTCCATCAATAATTATGACAATCCCATTAGGAAACAGAAGAGCTAAAGGCATGCGAATGTGATTGGATAGGTTGCTTAGTGTCAGTTTTTCACTGAAAGATCAATTCTAGTACTCATCAACAAGCGTTAACTAAGGTTTGTGTTCACCTGTTGCTTAACAACTTGTCCTATCTGATGCATAGCCCCTGGAAATACCCATGTGGCACTGACCTGCACAAGCATGGTACTGTTCTAGTATTGATATTTAAGGACTAACTCATTTAGGGAACCTGTTTGTATTATGTGCATTTGGGCATGCCAGGATCTTGTGTCTTCTAGTAGATGTGCTGTTTAAAGTCACTGTTGAAATCAAACCCAAGGACTGGATTCCTCATGGTGGAAATGAGTTCCAAAATGATTTCCTTGAATCTTTGAAGAATTACGTAAGTGCGGGCATGGGGAGGTGGAGAAAAACGGATGGGATGTCCCAGATCCTCATGTAGAGGAGACCATACTGTGCTTTTGTGTTTGGGGGAGATGACCTGGAGCTAAGCAGATGGGAACAACTGGTGTTCTTCTAAAGAAAGGGCTCAGAGCAGTGGGCTATGGGGCATCCTTTGCATTCCAGGTGGTTTGTGAAGGGGGAGAGCAAGATGGGGTGCTACAGTGAGGAAAAAAAGCTGCTGCTGTCATACTCCTGCTTGACAAACGTCAAATCAGTGCTGGTCACTCTGTTCCTTTGCAGATCCAGAAGAACCTGAAGCTTTCTGCCAATAGAGTCGGTGAAATAAAGTTCAAGGATGTCAAAAGGTAGGGATAATGCTGTGCTGCTGGCTTGGCAGGTAACTGCTATAACGTGTAATATTTCTTGAATTAGCAGTGTCTTGGTTCCTCGCTCTCCTTCCCCAGGAAGAAACATATGTTTGTTCTTCTTCCTTGATCTGTAATTTGTCCTGACAGTAGAAAAAAAATATTGTTTTCTAGGGGACAGATGGTGAAAAATTGATGTTTAGTATTTTCTGGGGTCTATATAGGTCTAAGATGGAAAGGAGGATAATCTTACCTGCCACAGTGCCTGCTGGAGAAAGCTGGGAGCTGTCAGCAGAGGCTGATCTGGGACTGTAGATTGCTACTACAATTCACTTTATGCAAATATCTGGTCATTTCAGCCTAGCTCCAGATGAGGAGACATTCCTGGGCTTTACTTTTTCCCATGGTCCAAGTGCAAAGCTGCCTCTTGGCACAGATAATCTTTGCAAGAGCCTGCAGCATCACGATCCCATGCCAAGGGTAGAAGGTCTAAATGGGCTGTAACAGCTGGGCCTGCAGTGATGTTTTCCTCCTGCCTCACCCTGGGCTCTCCCCTGCCCACAGGACGAGTGATGCCAACCTGCTGCTCACCTTCTGGCTGCACTTGGAGCCAGAGGAAAGGAACGTGTCTCTGCTTCTGCGTTCCCAGCTGGAGGAGCTGCTTAGCACCTCGGTGGGCGTGGAGAAGCTGCAGCTTGTTTCACTGTTTGTTGAAGGTGGGTGCTTCACTACTATTTTTTTTTTCTCCTGGGATAAACACTTACATGCCAAGCCTGTCTTGACTCAGGGCATCTCTTCCCCATTATAGATGTGGATGAGTGCCAGGCTGGGGTTAGCCTCTGTGGGGAGGAGGCAGAGTGCTTCAATGGCGTGGGCACCTACCTGTGCCGTTGCAAGAAGGAGTATGAGGATCATTCTCCCACCAAGTCCGGCACGCTCTGCATCCGCAGTCCCCGACCAGGTAGAGGATGGAACTGCAGCTCTGCTCCCTCTCGCGGTCTGGTGTTTTCCTGGTGTCAGTGTGGGAGAGGCATTTGTGCAGCACTGCCGGTGCCAGCGCAGCCTGGAGTGAGCACACCAGGGCAAGGGGCTCTCCCCTAGTCTGGGGTCTTGCACCTCTGCTGATGTGTGTGATGCTGCTGGAGTGGTGGCTTTAGGTGTCCCTGGCAAGGATGTGTAATGTCTTTGCAAGGCAGTTCTGAGCTGGGAATAGAACCTCTCCATGATTCTTAGCCTCCCTTTCCCCAGTCTGTTGCTTTCTCTATGTCAGGGTTACAACTTGGCACATGTGAGCCCTTAAGTTATAAGCAAAGTGTGGCAAAGGGGTGATTTATGAGATACGTCTGCTGTAACTGATGTGGCCAGCAAACCTGGTGGCTCCTGGGAGTCCCCTGTGTTCTCCTGTCACTCTGTGTAGATCTTGGTGAGAAGGATAGTGGTATTTCTGGTGTTTACCCCAGCTTTGACACAAGGCTGAGCAGATGGCATGTGATGCTTGACTATAATCAGAGGTGGCTAATCCAATCTTGAAGAGTAATGGGACATGCCCACAGACATTTCCTCACAGGCTGGAAAAGAGCAATATTCTGCAATATGTGCTCCAAACACTGTGGTTGCTTTACCAAAACTATTTCAACATCCCTGCAGTGGCTTAAACCTTAACATGAGCTCATGGTCAAATATAATTTCTCACCTATCCTACCAACTCCAAGTTAATTAACAACTTGAGCAGTGTAAGCCTGTGCAGATAAGCTGGTTATTGTTATATTCTGATACAAATGGTTTTATAAATCCATTTTTATCTGTTGGGCCATGGGGAGGAGCCCTCCTTGGATGGGAGCAGCTGCAGATCTTTTAGTCTGTGAGCTGCATGTGGGTTTGGCAATGGTTTTGCTCTGTCGAGGTTCTTCTGGAGTAGCACCATCCTTGTGTTGCTCACTGGCTCTTGGTCTAAGTATTTCCCTGGGGTGGAGGTTTGGAAGACATGCTCTGGCCTGGAGGTAGGCAAGAGGGTTTCTGGAGGGTGGCAGGGGCAATGCTGAACTTCCTGGAGGTGATGTGGGGCACTTTGTGAGCACGGGGGGGGGGCCCTGGGGCAGCAGGCACCAGGATGAGGCCGTGGCCTTTCTCTTGCAGAAATCAGCGCCTTCCTACGGCATGCGGACATGCTGGCAGGAGCAGCGCTTGTGACTGGCCTGGTGTTGCTCGTGGCCTTTGGTGCCCTGTGTGTCATGGCCATGTGGGACCGGGCCCCCAGGAGCAGCCCAAGGCCTGAGGGACCAGCGGCGAGGGCTGTGGAAGAGCCGGCCATGGAGCTGCACGCCCTGGGGGAGTGCCTGCGCCTCGACCCCTTCCAGCTGAAGCTGCGGGCCCGGTCCCCCGAGTGGCTCTGGAGTGTCCGTGCCCACCCTGCCCAGGCTGGCCAGGCCTTCCCAGAGCCATCTCCCTCACTCTGAGAGGAGCCTCAGTGACCTGTGCAGTCACTCCCGCACTTTCCAGGATTTCTGACACAACCACTGGCTGTGCCAATCCTTAGACCATGTTTTATAGACCATGAATATCCCACAACAGCATTCCTCATGTTGTTATTTATTTTTTTTAATGCTTGCTCAGCTTGGGGAACAAAATATTTGCTCCATGCCACTGTGTATCTGCTGATTTACCCTGCTTGAGATCTGCACAGAGAAAGGACTTTTTTTTTTTTTTAAGAAAAAAGGAAATAGGATGTTTTGGTGCTTAATACGAAATTAAAAATTATTTTGCAGCCTGCTTAGTGCTGCCTGCTTTCTCCTGCCCCCAAGGCAGAGCTCTATGGAAAGCCCTGACCTGAGGATCTAGGGGGTATGTCTTCCAGCCTGGCTGAAAAACATCTCCAGAACGTGACCTAAAATTCTGGCAAGAAACCTGGTCAGGTTATGGCAGGTCACTGACTGAATGAGGGGGGGGACAGCATTTTTGGTGCTTGCATGTATGCTGGCTGCCAAAAGCCCCACAAACCCCCCCGCGGTCCTGGCCGGATATAAAGCACAGCTGCTTTCCCAGCTTGTCCTGCAGCTGGAGCCCAGTAACTTCCCTGTTTATATTTTTGAGGGGGGTTTCAAACGGAGTTGCCCCTTTCCTCGGGAGGAAGGTGCATGGTGCGGTGGCAGGTGCCCCACTGGAGGGAGCTGTCTGCCGCCGAAAGCCCAGGAAGGGCGCTGGCTGCAGCTGCCTAGGAGATGCTCCCAGAGGTGGGGCACAGCCGAGGCTGGCGGTCCCTGGTTAGAGCAGGTCCGGTCAGTGCCGCTCCGGGGTGGTCTCCCGGCAGCTTTGGGCAGGATGTGCGGTAGAGGTGTGGGCTGAAGGGAGCGGATTGCAGATGGATATGTGCAGCTCAGGGTTTGCTCCGCAGGGTCAGCTTAGAAAAGGCTGGAAATGGCTCTCCTGTGTTTCGCTGCAGGTGACGATACTGGTGAGGAAGTCAAAAGGGGACCTGGGGTCTTTCCCTAGGATAACTCTTTTCCATACTCCTCCCCCACGCAAAAAACAAAATCAACCAGCCAAAAACAAACAAACAAAAGAGGACAGTTCCTTTATCTCAGCTGTTGAATTAGTGAAGAAGCAACATTTGCAGTGTGGAGGAGGATTCGCCAGAGGCGTGATTGGTGATATTCAGCACAGTTTGGGGCACTATAAATGCCAGTGTTGTGTGAACCAGGTGAGAGCACGTTGTTTGCACTGAGGTGATACAGCAACAAGCATCCTGCGTGGTAACTGGCAGCTGCTGCGCCACTCTAGCAAGGAGTGGCTGTGTTGTTCTCCCATAACAGGCTCATCCAAATTAGCTGATGCTGACGGGGCCCTCCTGCCTGCAGAGATAGGTGAGGCAGAGCTGACGCCTCCCTGCATACACTCCCCAACAGCAGCTCACTTCAGCGCTGTTTAGTGCCATCCAGTTTTGGGTACTGAAACAGAGAAAAACGGATCTCCCAAAGACATCCCGATCTTTGCTTCCTTTGACATAGATGGAGCAATCACCTCTTACCAACCATTTTCTATGCATGGTTTTCAAAGTATTTTGTAAATAGCAGAGAATTAAATGCAAACATCTCCCTAGGTGGCAGATAAGCAAGTGTAATTTTCCATTGTAAAGAGAAGGAAACCATTAATATGTTTGCACAGAGTGTGCTTGTTTCCTTGCGGAGATCAAAGAAAGGCAGCAGAAGCTAAAATAATACTGTCATTATCTTGGTCTTGGATTTGGTCAGTCACCGTGTCTCCTTTTCCCTTCTTGAATCCACAAAAGGGAGTTGGGGGCTCTTCAGGTTGCTAACTCTTGTCTCTCCCAGTTAGGTAAGGTTTGGATCCCAAAGTCACACAACTGATAAACAGATGGATGCTTCTGCTTTCTTTCCAGCTTTTCCAGAAGAAAGGTGCGCCTCACACTGTGCTCCTCGGTTGGAAGCCAGCTCCTTTAGTATAGGTATAGTCTGCTTTGTAACCCATCCATGGATGATCCTCCCATTGGATCACCCTTCCCTGCAACTTTTCATCCAGACAGAATGTCCCGCTGATGCTCATGCACAGAGGACAGCGGAAAGCCTGGAGCAATGTGCCTGGGCAGGGCTTTCTGCAGCCAAACCCAGGGTAGCAGCAGCTCCATCTGGGCTCTGGGTGCATGCAGGAGGCGGAGATGGCGTGCTGCCCCCTCCTTAGCTGGTGTGAAGTGACAGCACCTGCCCCTCATGACTGTGCCTGGGAGAGATGTCAGACTTTTATTGCAAGCACCTAAGGTGGTATGTGTGTGATCTGTGTGTGAAAGAGAAGGACATAGCCAGAGACCAAGCTCATTGTGAGCAGTAGTTAGCAGGGGTTTTCCCTATTATAAAAATTCACCATTTCAGTCCTAATTAGTGTTGCTTTTTATTTTCCACTATGTCTAAAGAAACTGTTTTGCCTTGTGAACTCCAGGCTGGCTTTAGGAACAGCTCATCCCTCCTTTCCTGCTCTCTCAGTTGAATTGAGAGGGGCTGATGTCCCAGAATTCCAGGATGGGTCAGGTTGGAAAGGACCACCGTGGGTCATCTGGTCCAACCTCCCTGCTCAAGCAGGATCATTGCAGAGCACATGGCACAGGATGGTGTCCAGATGGTTCTTGAATGTCCCCAGTGAGGGACACTCTCCAACCTCTCTGGGCAATGTGTCCCAGTGCTCGGGCACTGCCCAGGAAAGAAGTTCTTCCTCATGTTCAGGTGGAACTTCCTGAGCCTCAGTTCTTGCCCGTGTCCTCTTGTCCCATTGCCTGGCACTGCCGAGCAGAGCCTGGTCCATGCTCTGACCCCTCCCTGCAGACAGTGACAGACATTGATGAGGTTCCCTCTCAGTGTCTCTTCTCCAGGATGAACAGCCTCAGCTCCCTCAACCTTTCCTCAGAACTGAGGTGTTCCAGTCTCTTCATCATCTTTCTCACCCTCTGCTGGACCCCCTCCAGGAGCTCCTTGTCTCTCTTGTCCTGAGGATCTCAGAACTGGACACAGCACTCCAGACTGGCCTCACCAGGGCTGAGCAGAGGGGCAGGATCACCTCCCTGACCTGCCGGTAATGCAGTTCCTAAAGCACCCCAGGATCCCACTGGCCTTCTTGTCACCCAAGGCACTGTTGGCCCATGGTCAGCTTGTTGTCCACCAGCACCCCCAGGTCCTTCTCTGCAGAGCTGCTGCCCAGCAGGTCACCCCCAGCCTGTGCTGGTGCCTGGGGTTGCTCCTCCCCAGCTGCAGGACCCTGAATTTGCTCTTGTTGAATTCCAGGAGGTTCTTCCCTGCCCATCTCTCAGCCTGTCAAGGTCCCCTCAGAAGGGCTCACAGCACTCTGGGGTATCGACCACTGCTCCCAGCTTTGTGTCACCAGTGAACTTGCTGAGCAGGCACTCTGTCCCAAACTTCCTTCCCTCTGCTGCAGGTCAGAGTATTGGCATCTGCTCTTCTCTTTCACCTGCTGTGGAATGAATTAATAAACAATAAAACATAAGAAATCTGCTGGATCTGTAAATCTGAATTTGGCCAATCCAGAGATTGACTGGAAGCTCTGCTGCTTCTGACATTCAAAATAAATTTGTCACCTCACTGTGCAGCACTCTGCTTGCTCACAGCCCATGGCCATATGAAATGACAGTGATGATTTATAGGCCACCACAAATGATATTTTCTTTTCAGTAGGATCTGTTCTCTCATGCATTATTGTTGTGTGACTGAGGTTTGTGCAGAGGTTTCAGAGGGTCTAGGATTTATTTGGAGATTGACACATGCCCAAGGAACTGCATGTCAAGAACAGTATTTGTATATCAGTATATATTTTTTTTTAAAGACATTTACTAAGCCTAGTTGAACACATTCTCCCCAAATCCTTCAAGTTCATCTGACTGTTTTTTACCCTGAATTTTGAAGCAGGCTGGGTAAACTTCATCTGTCCCCAGAGCCCTGTCCAGAGCACTTGGACATGAACCATCAAGCTAGGGCAGAAGCTATGGAGGCAGTTCTTTGTGGGAGACACCTCGTTCTATTTGCACCTACTTTATCAAAAAAGCCAAGAAAAATGGCAGACATCCCATTCAACCTGTGGTGACCACGGCTGGTACCTTAACCTGAGTAGTGAAAGCAACAAATGATTGGAGGGGAGAATCTCTGTCAAGGGAAATGCTAGACATGTGTTTGGTTTTCTTTCCCAGAAGAAGAGAGCTGGGAAAGAGATATGGGTGCTCACAGCCCACTGAGACATCCCTCGTGTGTCTTGGCTGCCCATGACAGTCTGCCAGTTGGTAGGGGCTGGGGTATTGCTGAGGTCATTGTCATGCTGAGGGAGATCTCCAGAGGCTCAGATGTCCTTGTGAAGTGGTGGATTTAGGAGGACACCCTACTTGAATGCTGGCACAGGCTACTAGAGTGGAAATGTGGGGGTGTGGCTTCATGCTGTGGTTTGAATGGCATTAAGCTGCAATATAATCAAAAACTAGGGCAAATCGCCCTGGAGAAAGTGGGTTTTGCCATATCAGCTCAAGTGCAGAAAATTTTAGCTGTATTTTGTTGACTGGCTGAGTGATACTCCCTCAAGTGAGTGACTGATTAAGTGGAGATACAATCTGCGACAGCTTCGAATTAATGAGGCAGAGCAGAGAAATGAGGCCTAGAGATGGCATTTTTCTTCTAGCTTGGTCTAAAAGCCTGTTCTCCTTCCCAGAGGATTCAGATGCAGCTCCCTGCCTGCCCTGTGGATATCACCTGAGAGTTTGATTTCTCTGCTGGAGCTACTGCTATGCACACAGTGATCACCTGCAGATGTCTGTGCATGCAAGCAGGGGCTCTGCAGGGATGGAAGTTTTGAGGAGGTGAGGAGCACTTTCTAGATAGTCATATTTCCTGGAAGGAGGCAGCACAGACTGTGAATTGGGTCTGTTCCCAGAGCATCTTAACTCACAAGTGATTAGCTGTTAATTATTATGTAATAAATAACTTAATAAATGAGTATTCTTCACAGCACCTATTGTGCCAAATGGCATCAGCTAAACTGTGTGAAATCTATGTAATTATAGCTCTCCCCGACCCTCAAATTCTTGTGTGTCCATCAGCCATGGCATGGGCTCTTGGACCAGGGCAATGAGCAGGCACTGCCACCATGCACCACTAGACACTATTTCCCCACCTCCAAGCCTGCTTTCAGTTTTCCAAAGAATGTCAGGATTCCGTGTACAGGAGGCAAAAAAATCTGTCCTCGGTTGTGCATTGACAAATAAATCAAAATATTCAGCCTCTCTTGGCGTCCAAATCTTCTCAGAAAGCTTCTCGTGTACATCTCGTGCAGAGAACTTTGCCAGTGGATCTGCACACACAAGCCCGGTTCTTTGCAGCTTCATTCTTCACCTGCTGTGATACGGACAGAACTGAAACCCAGCAATGGCATTCAGCTTTGCCATTTTTCAGCACGTATATGATACAGAACTGTTTGGTTTGGTGCACGGTTCTCCCTAAGCTTTAGGTACACTCATGTGCTGCTCTCTGTTTCGCAGAATCCAAATTCTTCATGTAGCTCTAGCTCAGCGAAATGTGGCAGGAGAGAAGCACCTGCTGGATTAGTCGTCTTATGTGCAAGGTAGTTCACAAAACACCGCAATCTGGGCGACGAGGGGACATGCAGGATACGTTTTTTCCCAGCACAGTTTTCAGTGCAAGACACCTCTCCAGAGCTTTAGTCCTTGCGAGGCTGAAATGTGCGCCGTGGTATTTCAAGCTGAGAAAGACTGCACCAAGAGTACGGCCATCCGGCAGTGCTTTGCAGGCTGTAAAAGGAAAGGGACCACCCTTTGAATGTGACTCCAATAGAAGTTTGTACAAGCTTTAGGAGCAAATTCCGGGCAACCTTCTTGTCCTGGTACATTTCTCTGCTCGAGACGTAATGGAGAAGCTTTCCGTTCAGCTTCAGATGGCAAGGGAGACAGAATGATGGGGGACGCGTTTCTAACTAAGTACATGGCCCCCGAACGTCTTTTGGCAGAAGCAGCTCGCTGAGAGCTTCGCCGCTGGCACAGTGTTCTGTGCGTGAAGCGGAGGACGATTCACCTCTGGGAGAGCATAAGCGTGGTAGGTTACAAATAATAAAGAACGAGGCCGCAAAGCAGCAGATTGTGCAGAGCCCAGTGTACCCACTTGCTAAAGTCCGGCAACAGCTTGTTGATAAGCAGAGCCAGATGAGCTTGCTCTTGCTGCTTGAAAAAGTAACGCCCAGCTGTTGCACAGCTCAGAACATGCTGATAGGCTTCTCCTTCCACCTTTACTGTTCCAAAGGTTTTCAGAGGTCTAGGTGTTCTTAACGTATGTGTTCTCCAGATTGCTCTGAACCAGCGCACAAGCAAACCCCTCTCTGTAGCGTCCTTCACAGAGAGGTATGCAGTCTACGACTTCCACTCTCGCAGCTCCGTTGCCTGCTTTCGGCAGCTGCTCTGATAGCAAAAGGCTCCAGAACCAAAAGCCAGCGCAGGGCTGCACTTTGTGCTTTCTCCACCTGAGTCAATCATCAAACTCACCTAAGCGCTGTGTCCTCCCCTTCTCCACTCGAAGCCTAAGGGCAAGCACAATTGTTTCCGCAGAGCGCTGCAACTCGAAGAGGCGGCAGCACAAGTAGCTCTCGTAGAAGTGCTTCCTTACGACTTCCCACTGTGCATTCAGCGGGAAGGCCAGTGGCAGCCACGCTTTTCTTATACCCAGAACGTTGCGCACAACCAGCCCGCTGCTCTGCGGCTTCCTTCGCCTTTTGCGTCCCGTTACGCTTTCACTCTCCCGGAGGTGAATCGCCGTCTACTCCTCAGTAAAAACACTCTGCCGGCAGAGAAGAGCTCCATTTTCCTTCTGCTGAAACACATCAGGGTCATGCACTTTCCTCCAGTCTCAGTGTCAAGCTTAAAAGCACCCTGAAGATAATGTTACACTCGCATAGTTAGCCTTAAAAGAGAATATTTAAAAAATCCTGCTACAGACACTGATTTCATTCCAGTTTTGTTTGTAAGTGTTTTTGCTTCATAAGGCTTTAACAGTTAAAACCCCAAGGAAGGGTGCATTCTCCTGCTGGAGTACTTCAGTCCAAAATGTTTTTGCTGTGACCTTACTTTCTTTGTGGCCCTGAAGAGGGAGAGAGGTGGAGTGTCTTAACTGAGATCATCAAAATATTTGTGCTGGTATGTGCATTTTAGATCTGCCCTTGAAATTATTCAACTTAGCCATGCCTTAATTTGTTTTGGGCATTTGAACTTCAATTTCCCCCCTTATTTTTTGTTGGTGTGACTTGTGCCAGTTGGCTGTGAGGGTCTGTAATTGTGGATTTGGTTGTTTTCAGCTGCTTGTTGGGAAATGCAGTGGTCTGGCTTTGCTCAGAGGTGGAAGGAGGAATAGGGATGGAGAAAAATATCTGCATGTGACTGAATAAATGCTACAGTTTGAACTCAATCAGCCAAAATGGCTCCCTTAAGGATGGGTTGCACATGTGAAAGATATATTGCAGTAAAGATGTGCTTGATTATGCCAACAAATGTGGGATAGCAGGAAGTTATCAAAGATAATAAGCACTAGACATTACAATGGGGATTTCTCACATTGCTAGCAAGGGGAAAAACTGCCCTGCCCCTCTGCTGGCTGGAAACACCACAGAAGATATTTCCAATTTTTCCCCCTAAAAGGATCCAGGCAACAGCATCCATGTGCATGCTGCTGCCAACAAAGCCAGTGCCTCCAGTTTTCTTAGCTTGCAGCTCCCACTGCTGCAGCAGCAGACAAACTGTGAGTACTCTCTGAACACGGCCCCAGAAAGAACCATTTATGTGTCCAACCCATCAAAACCACGCAGAAGGGAGAGCGGGAACAAGCTGCATGTCAGAAAGCCTACAGAGTGTTAATGATGTACAGTAAATAGCTGGTAAATAACAGGGTTGTCATTGCAAGGCTGCTGGAGCACTGAGCCAGCAGTGTATGCCTGTTCTGCATACAAACAGGACTGGGATTTCTGCAGGGCTGAGTTGCACAAGCCTGGAAGAGATTCCCAGAAAGTATGGGAAGATCTGTGTTCTGGACGTCCCTTGTACAGGATGATGATATGATGGCACAGAATGGGCAGCTCCATATTATGTATGGAGCAAACAGGACTGGCTGGAGACTTTCAGCTTTGGGGAAGAAGGGTCCCTCAGCCTTCAGGCCTAGGACAAGGCCTCTTCATGGCTGATTTCAGCAGTACTAAAACCAAAGCAGGAAAATGGCTTAAAGCACTGCACAACATCCTGACCTCACCCCCAGTTGAAGAGGAGTAAGACATTACTATTTTACTTTTACAAGCCCAAATGGTTTGTTGAGTGGGGCAATGGGCAGAGGTCTTGCCTGAAAGAGGTGAGGGTCAGTCCCTTTTCCCAGGTAACAAGTGCTAGGACAAGAGGAAACAGCCTCAAATTATGCCAGAGGAGATTCAGATTGTATATTAGGGCAAATCTCTGCACTGAGAGGGTGATTAGGCAGTGGAACATGTTGCCCAGGACAATGGTTGTGTCACTGTCCCTGGGAGTGTTCAAACACTGTTCAGATGTGGTGCCTAGGGACATGGGTTCGTGGTAGGCCTGGCAGTGCTGGGTTATCAGCTGGAGTCCATGATATCAGAGATCTTTTTCAGTCTTTTCCAGTGATTCTATCATTCTCTAATTGAAAGTTGCACTGAGAAATGCAAACACAGGCAAATGTATCCCACCCTACTCACACCTGTTGGGTTGCTTTGTTGCAGGTGATATTTAGAAGAAAATTGCTCTTTCAGTGAATCCTAAATAAAGCCTCAGAGAACTTTCCTTGGTTGGGTTTTTATTCTCATTATCCAATCTCCATCATCACTGCAATATTTCATGCTCCCACAAAAGAAAAAAAAAAACAAAAAAGAAGTCATATTCAAGAACAAAGCAACCCACAGCTTTTCTCCATTTCAGTCTTTTGTGTCCAAAGGGCTGCTCTTAACTCAATAACTGAGTTTTTATTGTGTCACATTTTGCTGTCCCTGACTGCAGCCAGCCTGCCATCCTTTTCCTGCTGCCTTATCAGTATTTACCTAAAAAATGACACTGTCCTTTTATTATCACCTTGACACCCACTCCTGAGTGCCTGGCAGGGTTTGAAAATTTAAAATTATTTTTTAAGGCAGTTTTACTTAGGAAAAAGGAGAAGCTTCAAAATATTTCCCCATCCCATGTTTTTATACATACTTTGCTAACCATGATAAATAAATTGGAAATTAAAGAAAAAAAGAAAAAAAAAAAGAAAAAGGAGTAAGATTTAGGTTCCTCCAGGATTTTCAAAATGAAGGTGTTCAAAGACTTGTTCACTACTCCCAGCTGCTTTATAAAAGGAAGATTTTTTCCATTTCTGGTTGTCGTAAGAATTTGCTTCAAATTGAGGTGTTTTAAAAGCAAACAACAAAAAATCAAATACATCTGAGTGCTTTAGCTACATATTATGTTGACTTCTACATTAATATCCTGCAGAAGATACTCAAGTATCTTACTTTTGCAGGTCTTAATCCTGTGGAAAAAATTGTATTTCCTGTGCAAAAAGCTGCGGGGTCAAAGGCCAGACAAATAGAGGGAGATGCCCATGTTAAAGTCCTTTCTGTAATTAAAACAGGAGCTCAAATACATTGACTGGTAGGAATCCCTCTGGATTGACACAGGCAGTGGCTGCATGGACTGAAAGGCTCTGTTCAAAGCTCCAGCAGTACAAGTGATTATGAACATGTACATATGAACATATCTCATATTCTTCTCACCTTCATGAATTCAGCTGATTGTTTTCAATACATTCAGAGTGTGGTAACTAAAGAGTGTTCAGGCATTTTTTCCCAATTATTTTACTTGGGAACAGCAGAGGGGCCTACCAGTGTGAATATAGAAGGGTCTTTTCTATCCCTTAAAGAACAACAGTGCCTTATTTCACAGACTGCAGGAACTCCTGCCCTAATACTGGATGTTCAAGGCAGCTCTCAAGGAAGTTATCAATACTGCCCAAATCCATCAGGGAAGCCACAGGCCTTGGCACGACTGTTCTTGCAGCTACCTGCCAGATTTGTTCCTTTCTGCCTACAGTTTCTCTCTTGTGCTCAAGTGTTTCTGCCAGTAAATGCTTCCCAGGGACTACATTACTTAGAAACTTTGGACCATCTGAAGAAGAAAATGTGCTTTTTATCCATAAGAAACTGCAAAAGTTGCATGTATTTAATCAATGTGGAAATGTGTGCTGTAGGCTGCTGCTTAACTGGGGGAATAAAATTTCTGCTGAATCCTCGAAGATTTCAAGCTAGTAAATTTTCACATTTATTTTCTTTTAGTAAATTCTCTCCTTCACGTACCCAGGAGCAACTTTGGTGGCAACAATCATCAACATACACATTTTCTCTCAGTGTTGCACTTCTTGAAGCTGTTTATTCCATTATAGTTTAAATTCTTGCTCTTATCAGCTGACCCTTACATACAGCTTTGCCTGCCTCCTATAGCAAAACTTCTATTATCCTTGCTTTATTTAAAGCACTGAATAAGTTTTTTTAAATTGTTGCTATCTGATGTTTGTCCTGGAAAAACAAAATTTGTTTTTCAAAATAAATTATCTCTGCAGCCTTTCCTGGCTATTGGCCATCTTATCAGACTATGTAATAATGCCAATCCTGCCTGCTTCATCAACTATTTAAAGTTTCAAACTAAGTCCAGTTCAGTTTATAAGAGACAAAGGCAAGAGAGAAATGTATGATCTCTTTCCTTTGGGTGCAATTCTTTCAGCAATTGTAAAGAGTCAGCTGTTGATATGGAAAGGTTAATGCTGTACCCTCTTTTTGTAAATTGTCTGTTTTCTATCAAATCTAGGTCTTATCTTGTGTCTGCTTTATTGGATCTGCTTAAGCAAGGTACACATTTGAAGCCTCTTCTAAATTTAATTTCTCCTTCTTGAAAGTCCTGAAAGTATTAAAAAAAAGAGAAATCCTTTTATGAAGTCTATTTTAGACAAGGGACATAGGCCAAGTTCAGGTATTAACCATTTGCCAACTATGCCCTTGATCACAAAATACTCTTCTCATCTTCAAATTGATCAGTAACTTAAAATAGAACATTTTAAGATAATGTGTTCATTCCTAATTTCTTTTATTCAGTTAAAGGAAATGCATTGGTACAAATTTCCCTTAAAACTGATTGTTGGCCTTGCCTGACAGTAAACTTCATGGAATAAAAAAACTGATTTCTGTTCTTAGGCTTTAGCCACTCAAAGACCTTGACTGTGAAGGGAGAGGAGCTGCTGGTAGCAATCTAGAGCATCAAAAAATACTTTTTGGGGTGTTCTTGGCACAAATTGCAGTGCGGCAGAAAGCCACTCTTGTACAGCTTGTGTTCAGAACTGTCTGGATGCTGCTCGGGGAACTCCCACGTGTTTCCCGTGGTTTTGGGTTCCTTCCTTCCATTTTGGTTTCCATCTATTCTCTAGAGGTGAGGAAAACCACCAACCTCCCTCACTACCCGAATACTTGCTCTGCTGAATCTTAAATTCTCATGTTCTACTTGTGTATTTTTTTTGTGCTTGCTTGATGTCTCACCAGTTCTTGTGAAATTTGGAAACTGAAGGGAAGTTTAATTGTCAAATTAGAACTGGTAATTATGAAATTAAAATAGACTAGCAGATCATTAGGAAGCCTGAGAAGAGTGTAGATAGAGATCTTTTTGTTTATCAAATATGTTGCTGAAGATTCATCTCACAGGCTGGTTTCTACCATTAGCATTTCTAGACAACTCTACTTCTAACAGTGTTTTCCTTAATTCTGTTTCCCTCTTCTCCTCCTCCCAGCCCCCAAACAGCTATGTGTCCTTACATCTTTGGCTCCAGACAGTTGTCTTGCATGGCAGTTTGATCTTCCAGATGCATCATTTCTTTATCACTAAAACCAAGGATTTGGAGTTATACCTTATGGTCTTAGCATGGAGGCCAGTTCCTTGTTGCCAGCATTGGTGTATGGTTGACTTTTCCAGCTTCATATTGTATTTCATGTACTTAGTGTTAAAAACCTATTAAAAAACATGTACTTAGTTTAAAAATGTTCCACTTGCATCAGTTAAGAATGTTTTGACAAGGATTTTCAAATTCTGGAAAAGTATTTTTCAAATGATGTAACTTCTGCTTAAACTTCACTGTCTCCCTCTCAGGCTCTGCTTACAGGCCTATAAATGTTTTATATTAACTGTTAAAAGACACAGAGACTCTTAGAGAAATCCCCTCTTTCTGTGCAAAAGGCAATCCAAGTTGGTAGTTTGCTTAAAAACAAAGGGTATGTGCTCTGATAACATATGCTTCATAACAATAAAATGAATAAGCAAACTTAAGTGTAACTCATTGTCCCATTCATTCATGGACTGAAAGGAAAATTAACCATTTTGGTAAAACCTAAGCTAGTGCCTTCTTTTCACTTGGGGTTCTGTAAGTTTTAAATATTCAACAGCTTTAAACATGATGTGCCTTTTTCATGTTAGACTCATCTTCCTTCCAATCCTTCGAGGAGTTTGCATGCTTGTGCCAGCTTTCAAAACTGGTAACTTTTGCCCTGCTCAAAGGATTCAAAGGATTCGGATGAAAAATTTATTGTAATACTTGATCTCCATCACTCGATAGAAAAAGTGAACTTTTAGCCATTACCAAAACTGCAGAAGATAGCCTAGAATGTAATATGCATAACAGGAATGAGAACCTTGGTGTTGCCTTAGCTTGGGAAAAACAGGTTCTGCCTTTTGGTGACAAACCTATTTTTTTAATGGCTATAATTTTGTTACTGGTTCTGCCTGGGAAAATCCCATCACTCTGACTTGACAGAACTGTAACTAAGCCAAAGGAGATGAGCATAAGAGTTTTGTGGCATGAATACCTTTGAAATTACATGACTAGTATAGTAGTAAGGAATTTCTAAGTGCTGGAATTACCTGGAAGACCATCTCTGAAAGTGTAGTCTTTGTTCATTAACTTCTTTTTGAGCTTCAAGATCTCTTGGGGCTTTTGTTTTCTGTTTGGTTTTGGGTTGGGTTTTTTCCCTAGTTGAGGTATCAGACATTAAATATGTGCAGCATATCTGGAAGACAGACAAAACTGGTACCAACACAAAAAAGTGTAGAAAAGATTTATTCTAAAGAAAAGATTTTTGTGCAAACAGTGAGGAAAAAGGCTTCTGGGTTTTTTTAAATGCCACAACTTTGTAACACTTAAAACTCTCAAAGTCTACTCAGTAGCAGTCCACAAATAGTCCACTCAAATCAGTTATGCAATTGGCTTTGATTTTCCTTGAAGAAAGAAGCTCCAGTCTCTGAAGTTTAATGCTGGCTCTCGAGCGAGATCAATTTTTTTAATACCTCTCAGGCAAGAAGGCAAAGAACTACCCAACAAAACGGAAACAGAATTGTGGCAACATTGGGCCGGGTTCTGTTACCTCCTGAAGCCCTCGGGGCATGATCTGTGGCCAGCAGCGGGGCCCCTACCAGCCCCGGGAGCTGCTCCCTGTGGCCAGGCTGTGAACACCAGGCACGGGGCGCTGCTCCTCCAGGCAGTGGAACTCTGTCAGGCGGAAGCGAGTGGCCAGAGTGTTCACCATCCTTCTCAGGGTGAAAAAGGCCGTGAGCACTTGGAAGGAGAGGAAGGTGGCAAAGATGATGTGCACGGCTCGCTCCAGAGAGTGGATTTTCAGACCTTCATTAAATAGCAAGAAGAGAATTATAGGCAACTGCGGGAGGAGAGTCAAGAGCCAAAACCCAGCCAGCTCAGGCACCTATAATAGGGAGACATCACCTATTAAAAACCCAACAGCTGGGATGAAAAAATCCAAAATCTTGTGAAGAAAACACATTTCTTTCTAATTTTTCAAAAGCCAGCACATAATGAGGAAAGGCAAAGTGAGATGGCTTTATATTTTCATATCCTGTGTTTTTAAGCGTAGTTCTATTTTCTGACAAAACCATTTTAGGGAGTGAGAAAGCCCTTTCTGCGGGAAAACTACTTGGAATTCACAAAATTAAGTGGAAGTCAATGCCAAGAGAATAGAAGATGCAGAGTGCAACTGAGGAAAAATAACAATCTCCTCAACTTAAATCTCTTAAATAAAATGCCTGCCAGTTAATGTTCAACTCCCAAAAGCAGAAATTCTTGCAGATATTGCTATGTACACTTGGTAACTTACTTTCTCCAGGAGATTGCCCACATATCCCAAGTAGAGTCGAATGAGCTCTGTCAGAGAGACCAGGATCATGATGGTGACCAGGATGAACTTGTAATAATCTGATAAGACTGGATACTGCAGGGGAAGAAGAAAGTAAAAGTTTCTTTTCGCCATGCTGTCTGTGATTAAATGAAGATACTCTGTGCTACTGTCAGCTGACAGTAGTGGCATACAAACACTCCTGAATCTCCAGCTTCCATGAATTTCCAAATCAATGTAAAACCTCTAAGTCCAGTGAGCTGTATCCCAAACTAGGTTGTGTTTGATGTAATATACATTACAAACCAGCACTTTTCCTTCCTTCTCACCTTCAGGTAGAGGATGGCAACTGTGATGAGCCACCAAAGCGGGAAGAAATAAACATTGAAATAGAGGGACATCTGCAGTGGCAAACTGGAAAGGATTTCACAATCTGTAGAGAGAAAGAAGTTTTTATCACTCCTGCTGAAAATATGACAGAAAGATACTGCTCCATCTTAGCTTCATGCAGGGCAGTAATCTGACTCGTCCCAGTCAAATTAAATGTTAAGAAAAATATTTTTATTTATCCAGAGGAAATCTTCACACCCTATCCAAAGTTACATCATTTCCTGGAAACTAATGCACCTTTTGGTTCCTGGGACAGAGCATTTTTATCATTTAGTCATATATTCAAGTTGAGCATCCAATTGTTGATTACCTGGTGGCTTTTAGCTTACTCCACCGTCTCTGACTGAGGCTTAGCTCAAAGAGAGCTGCTAGAGAGTAGGCTTGCATGGCCCGCTCTTCATTTTCAACCTTTTACTTAAATAGACACTTGGATGGAAACCAGTAATTAGTCTGATTCTTATGAGATAACAGTTTCAAATACGTGTCAAACTAAAGCTCATCTGTTCAAGTCTGTAGAGAACAAAATGCAATCACACAATGCAATGTAGAGAAAAGCAAGTCTCAAACTCCAACATGCGGGCAATAAATTCTGTACTTACAATTTTATAATAGACCTACAAGGTCAGACTTAAGGAAAAATTTACTTAAAAACAGAGAATCCAAGAATTCTAATTTCAATCGTGATCACAATGTTTAGGTATGTTAAAGGTTTCCTTGACATGCAATTGCTATTTATAAATTCAAATCAAGTTCTAAAACTGTGTTTGGACAAATGTTTAAGCAATAGGCGCCAATTCTAATTCATTTTTCTATCCATAAATTAAATTAATGCTTATTTGCAGGGATTGCTAAAATTAATGGAAAAGCTAGACAGTATTGCAATGGCCAGTTGCTATAGCAACTCACCAAGATACGTATGTGTAAAACTTAAATTTCTGAAATCCCGACGTCCAATAATTTGCAACTGGTTTCAGTGGATTGAGTATTAACATGGGAGTATTCTCCAAACAGGAAGCTGAAGAAAAAAAGACTAAAGAAGCTATTCGTTAAATGTTTGATAAATTACATGAAGAACCAGTAAGCGTTAGCAGTGTTACTACACAAAGGAAGTGGGAACTCCTGTCTCGAAACAAGATTTTTTTTATTAATTTCATAGACTTAGAACGGATTTATCGCCTGAAATTAACACAGCCTTTCCGTGTAGGCGTACTGTGCGCATTTCCATAGCTACTCGCGCTAAAGGTTAGAAAACGTGCCCGCAACTTCCACGGGCGACACGACGGGCGCAGCCACAGGTCATTACGACAAGCCGGCTCAATAAAGAGAAAGCCGGCGGCGAAACCAGCTCCAGCGAGCGCGGCTTCCTGCAGGCCCCAGCCCCGCGGGAGAGCTCCGGGCCTGGCCCCGGCACCTGCCCGGCCCGTACAGGGCCCGGCCCGCGCCGTACCTGCGCGGTAGCCCGGGAAGCCCGGGGGGGCGAGGGGGACGTCGCTGAGCGCGGCGCGGTGGCTGTCGCTGAACATGGAGCTGCTGAAGGAGACGAGCCGCCGCCGCAGGGGCTCGGGCAGCGTCGGGGGCCCCACAGGCTTCGCCATTGCGCCCAGGCCGCGCACGCGCTATGTGAAGTGCGGGGGAGAGGAGCCGCGACAGGGCTGGGGCGATCCTCGGGTTGGGGCGGGGGGAGCGGAGCCTCCGCCCCGGGGACGGACCCCGAGCCCACCGGGGCGCGGCTTTAGCAGAAGGGAGCGCGTTCCGCATCGAGCGCCGTCCCGCCGCAGTGTACGGGTGCGCGGAGCTGCCGCTGGCACCGCTTTCCTTCGTTTCGGATTAGTCAGAAGGATTAATTTTCTTCTACTCTGCGAGGGCAGGGTGTGGTTTTCTGAGAAGCTAACTGGAATGCTGGCCCGAGGAAAGCTGCTGTAGAGCCGCCGTGCTTCCATCTAGATAAATCCGGGAGAATGATGGTCCTCGATGACGGCCGGTGGGGGGGAAGAGGGGGGAGTGAAAATAATTCTGTGTTGACACAGTGGATATGAATGACTCATTTTACGAGAGATACAGGTGTAACAGAACCAGGAAATACTTTTTCCTCAAGGAAATCTATGTGTGCTACTCTGAAGTTAAAAGCTGGGGTGAGACTAACACAGCCATTCTAGCTGAGTCAACTTTGTCCCTTACATGAGGTTTCATGGAATCACAGTAAATTAATAATGTAAACCCAACTTCTCCTTGTGCTTCTTTTATTTGGAAAATGTAGGCCCCCTAGAAATGAGGTAATTTGTTCGCTAGGTTTTTCAATCACCTTAGAGCCTGATTCTTTCGAGTAGAAAAATGATGCTATTCTTAGGCGTGCAGCAATTCTTTTCTGTGGAACCAGAATGAAAGAGAGCAGCTTGTGCCTTTTCCTATGAGAAATTTTCTGCACCTAATGTGACATAGAATTATAGGATGGTTAGCGTGGGAAGGGGATTTAAAAGACCGCAGTGTTCCAAGCCCCTTGCCATGGGCCGGAACACCTTCATTGGGCCAGACATGTCAGCTCACTTCTCCTGCTCCCCATCTCACATCATGTTCAGCTTCTTCCCGCGGTGATCATGCTCCAGTATGACTTTCCAAACTCAGTTATCTCCAACTAAATAGTTTAAAGCCTAGTTTAAATTTAATTCCATCCTATCCCACTGGGACAATTACAGAGAGAGATGACTAAACAAGCAGGAATTCTGAGAAATCCATTTGGCTTTTGAGCTGATGAATGGCGTGATATTGACAACAGATACTTTCCTAAGGACTTCTCCAAACATGCCAGCAGGAATTGGCATTAAAAAACAATTGAAATTATGGAAGAATTTAATGATCATTTTTGTATTTGAGGAAACTTTATCAAAGCCGGCATTAACGGATGGGTTTCTGAACTTTAAAAAGTGCAGTCTGTATCAGTTATTTTGCCAATTGCCAGTAGGTGCTGGAAATAATTTCCTTTTGGGCTCAACAACTGTAATGGTGACTTTTGCGCTGTTTAGCCAATATCTTCATAAAGTTCTCTGCTATAGACAGGGGCAAGGTGAGGAATCTGTACGAGATTTTAATGAGATTGTCAGAAATTTTGTTTTACTGTTGTTGCCTTGGTCCTGACCTGATTAACCACTCTTCAAGTTAGGGAAACTCTCATCCCATACTCTCAACTACCTAGACACAAGAAACACGCTTATATGAATTAAAAGTGTGTCAGAGTTTTGATTAAGTCAGATATTCATGGAAGTCTCAAGGATGTTTTTCATTGTGTAATTTGGTGGCGTATAAAAAGTTCAAGCTATAAGGATTTTCCTTTTGATTATTTTTCTGAATGAAAGATGGAAGAATTTTTCCTGAACTACGCAATATTATGCCTTTTCCTGATGCCAGTGGCTTTGAGTGGGGACCCATATCTTCAAATACTGCTTGTCTTATGTTCCCCGATTCTGTAAACCTTCAACCATGCAGCCAGGTATCCTGCCAGCAGCTCTGCAGCAGCCAATGCTATTTTGCAGAATTGGGCTCTGCCCTTGTCAAAACAATCCAGCTTAGCAGCCATGAAAGTGTAAAACAGAGGAGCAGGTAAAGGAAAGGCTGATGGCATGCAGACACCACAAGAAATGTATGGATTTGCCATGTAGACTCAGCTTCCAGACTCAAGGTGTGACTCTGTGATATTTGGCAGCCTTCCATTTTCAACAGATGGTCCAGCATCCTGCATATCCCCACAAAATAAAGTTATGCACATTTTTGTTTAATATTTTTGCCCGTGCAGACACTTAAAATATTCCCTGAAGAGAAACTCGGTTTTTTTACTAGTTCTGTTTGATTTTTGTTAGACTACAGCCTCCCATTTTTAATTTTTTATCTTTCTGCAGTTTAAAGATCAGTATTCTTTTGATTTGCTCTAGGGAGGGATGGAGATCACCTCTTCAAGCAGAAGAAAACCTTAAAACTTGAAAACTTCAGAATACCTGGGGCATCTCCATTGACACATCAGCGCTTTCTGTAACAGAAGGGCAAGAATCTGTGCCATAAGGAATAGGAGAAGGAAAAACACTGAATTGTTACATAGCTGTAACAGACACCATGACCATCTGCATAAATAGTGTCATGTTTCCAGCTTTTGTGACAAAAGCTTTACTTTTTATCTTTTCTTTTTTTTCTTAATGGAGAGCCATTCCCTTACTGAATCTCTGTCTATCCCCAAATGGATGTTTATGTAGAAATAACCAGATTTTGAATTCTCTGTGCTTCAAAATAAGATACTGAAATATGAAACTGGAAGAAATAGGCTCACAGTGGCACAGCATTTTAAATGACTGTTTTATTTCTCTCCACATGTGCTAGCTATAAATAAAAGTCTCTGAAAAATCTGCCCAAAAGCTTTAAATCAGAGAAATACTGGATCTTTCTGTATCCACAGCAGTGCAACTAACTTGGTAGACACGAGCCTGGCTCCCAGACCAAAGCTCCTGGGGCTCTCTGGCAACAACACAAAGCCATAAACACCAGATGCAGTATATTCTATCAAAATGAAATATCACTAGTTTTGCACAATTGGCATTTCAGCAATGCAGGGTTCATTCGAATAGTTCCAGTGGTTCACCTTTGCATCTGAATCACAATTGCTGTATTTCTGAAGGTGTTGGTGTGGAATTTCACAAAAGCTATTTTCCCTGACATGCCTGTGCTGCTGTCTCCTGATGTGTGTGAGCAACAGAAATTGCTCTTCTCCTTGCTTTCTCCTTTATGCCTTCCTGGTATTTTAGCAGAAATGCTGGAAAAGATATGAAAAATGCTGCTGAGCCAAGCTATGTGCAGGCAGGCAGAGTACAGGCTTGCTTCCTCTTCACGTTCTCAGAATGAAGTGGCAGATTGGGAGTTTTAACAAATTACAGATTCCATGAAGACCCTAACGTGTGATTGAAAAGATCATGTTATTACCTGTGCCAATGTCTGCCAGAGTAATTTCACAGTTGTGCTTCTGCCTTGTGCTACACCAGGACAGTGTTTTTTTTTGTCTGTGTCACTTGTGCAGGTTTTCATCTCACACCTATGGGATTTTTGTGTCTGGTAAACAATTATTGTTGCTGATGAGACTGAGCCCAGGCCCTTATGTCAAGTATTATCAAGTACATATCACTGCAGGGGTTCCATGTATTAAATATATATTGGCTATTTTAGTCTCAAGCATGAAGACAGCAGGAAAAAAAAAGAATGGAAAAGAAGAAGAAGAAGAAGAAGAAGAAGAAGAAGAAGAAGAAGAAGAAGAAGAAGAAGAAGAAGAAGAAGAAGAGAGGGCTGTTACTTGCTCCTGCAGATTGAATTTCTTCTTGCTGTAATTGGCATTTTGTTAGAGCCACTCCCTAGTTTGTTTTATTTTGCTGATTCGTAGTTCTGTTGAGCATTCTGGGAAAGTCTGGAAGCTGGCATAGCTATTAAACAAGTTTTACTGTTTGTGTTGCAAAAGTGTTCAAGATTTTCATGGTGGATTTTGAGCCAGATTCTCACTAAAATCCTTGATTGGGCTTCAGCCTTGGTCTCATCTTTGCATAGATAGGCAAGCTGATCTTTCATGCAGTAATTGCTACTGTCTAAGTATTACTTGTACAATCCAAACTAGTTAGAGAGGCTTCACGTCTCCTCTCTTGGTGGGTTCCCCCAGAAGGCTGTTCATAGGAAGGAGCAATGTGCTTGCTGAATGTGTCTGTCCTTCTCTACTGATTACCACTAGAGTCTCATTGTTTTGCTAAATCAAGGTGCACAAAAGTTTTAAAATTTGATTCTTTACAGAGATGTAAGCTCTCCCAGATGTCGCTTTGTGGGTCTGAGCTCCTCGAGATCGTTAGGCTGTTTGTGTTCCCTGGGTACCACACCAAATGCTTTACCTGCAGTCTGTGTAACTCTTGCTGAAAGGTTGGCAGTTCCAGTGCTTTCTCTCTTTTTTGCAGAATCCAAAGATGGCTTGATATTTAAAAATTTACCTCTAATCTGTATCAGCTGTGCAAAGGCAGAATTGATTTTGCTGTTGCACACTGGTGACAGGTCCCTGTAATAATTGCTTTTGCAATTATTATTATTATTAATTATTTTGTAATTATTATTAATAATTATCTTTTGCAATTAGCTCAAGCCTGAATCCTGAGTGAGTGATGGAGGATAACACTTGTAATTTGATCATTTAGGAAAATATAAGCCACAAGGCAGAGAGGACTATTGTTTAGTAAACAAACTGATCTCAGGGTTAAGGCTTTTGTTTATAGTCTTTCAATTCCTGTTTGGACAATTACATAAATGCCTAATTTCAACAGTGTGAATATGCCACCGTTTCTGTGGAATTTAAATGGGAGTGGCAGCAGCACCCTAAATTGAGGCTAGATATTTGGATTCTTTGATATACATTTGGATGTCTAAATGTGGATTTCTAAACAAGAACAATCTCTCTCTGCTTTGAAGCTTTGCTGAATACAAAAGTACGTATGAATGTGAGGGTGTTGTGTTCTCAGGTCAGTACCACTGCTTTCCCTTTGTTCTTTTTGCCCAGACCAGCTTCACCCTGCAAGAGTGAGAGGTTGTGAGAATGACTGG